TAAAGTATAATATGGACTTTTAGATAAAAAAAGAATTACTAAATTTAATCTTATAGATATTTAAAGATAAAGAATTCAGATATCGCTTATTAAAGATCGCTTACCAAAATTTACTTAATAGCCTCGGTTAAGAAAAATAATTATGAATTTAATTTATAGACCTTAACTCGTTATAATATAATATTTTAAAGTCTTTCTCTTTTAACTCTTTATTCTAATAATCTTAATTATATATTTATTTAATATCTTATAAATATTTATAAAAATTTTTTTTTTATTATAAAAACTTTTAAAATCTTAAATTTTAATTTAATTTATAATTATAGATTCTAAAAATACTTTAATAAAGATTTTAATTACTTTTATTATAATTTTAAAAAAATTCTTTAATTATAAATTCTTATTTATTAATAGAAATATTATAATTAATAATAAGTTAATTAAAAAATATTTAAAAAATATTAATAATAAACTCTTATTAATATAATAAAGAAAATTTAAAACTTTAATTAAAGAATAATAAGATAGTATTAATCTTTTTCGATAATTTTAAATAATTTATTTTTTCATTATTTTAATATAAAAATACTTTATTAAGTAGTTTAATTATATATATAAAAATAATAATAATAATATAATTAATTATAGAGATAGATTAGAGAAAATAAGTTTAAAGAGTATATAATAGAATATAAAGAATAAAGAATAAATAAGAACTTAGTTTTCGAATTTTAGAGAATATAATATTTCTATTAATTTCTTTTAATATAGTTAATTTAAATATAGTAATCTTTAATTTTTTAAAAATACTTTACTTTTATAAATACTATTTATCTATAAAAGAAAAAAATCTTTATTTAACTTTTATTAAAAAAATTATAATAATAAGATTTCTTATATAGAGATCTATATTAAAAGTTTTACATCTACGCTTAAACTCTTAATATTCTTAATATTTTTTAATAATTTAATAAATTTCTTAAATAGCTTTATTCTTTATTAATAATTCTTTATATAATTATCTATATACTTATTAACTCGCTTATTTAAATTATATAATTATATATCTTCTTTAAAATAATCTTTCTTATATTTATTATTATCTTTTAAATAAATAACTTCGATAATATATCTAGATATATATTTTATTTATTTCTAAATTCTCTTTTATAAAAGCCTATATTTTTAGTAATAAGTTTATCGCTTTTTAGTCTTTTTTCGAGTTATTAATAAATTATTTTAAGTAATATATCGCTTTATTTAAAATTAATATAGCTTAATATAATTAAATCTAATAAGTTTTTATATTATAATAATCTAAGTTTATTTATAAATATAAAAATTAATTTCTAAAATTTTAAGATATAGATTAAGATCTTATCTTTTATAACTACTATATTAAATCTATTTTTTTTATATTTCTAAATAAATTTTAGAAGTAATAAAAGAAGAATTTATATCTAATTAGCGAAAAAAGTTAGAGAATTTAAAGAAGTATATATAAATAAATCTTCTTCTAATAGCGATATTAGTTAATTTTCTATTTCTTTTCTATAATAATAATTTTTCTTAATTTCTACTATAAATCTTTACTAAAACTTTATATTAGAAGGTTATATAAATTTATATATTTTATATTAATTTAAAGTTTCTACTATAATTTAATCTTAAGATTTAAGCTTTTATTAATAATAATTAATTTCTAAATATATTTTTTTTTTTAATTACTATTTCGACCTTTTAAATATAAAATAAATTCTTTTTATTATATAAGAAATATCTCTAAAATATAAACTCTATAGTATCTATAAAATAATATTAAATAGTAAATTTAATATAGATCTTATCGAGCTAATACTATTATTATATTTATTCTTATTAAGAGTTTAAAACTATATTAATCTTATCGATTTAAATTATATTTTTTTAATTCTTTATAATTTAATCTTTATATCGTAAAGCGAATTAATAATAAGCTTTTATTTAAGTTATCGAAAGAGATAATTTTTTAATAATTTTAATTAATTAAAAGTTATTATATTTAAGTACTCGTAGAATTATTATTAAAAAGATTTCTTACTTAATAATTAATATAAAAGAAATCTTTTTATAATTATAATAATTCTTTTATATAGCGATTAAAATAATATTCTTAAGCTTAAGTATAATAATAAAGAGTCGTCTAGATTTAGAGATATCGAATATATACGATAATAATAGCTTTTTAAATACGATAAGATTATATTCTCTATTATAAGCTTATTATTTTAGATAATTAATAATTTAATAAGAGACTCTTATAATAGCTATAACGATCTTCGCTATAATATTATATTCGATTAAAATAAATATCTAAAATTTAATTTCGTTATTATAATTAATACTCTAAATATTAAATATATTAGAATTAAAGAGTAATAAAAAGATATCTACTTACTATATTAAATATATATTAAAATTCTTTATATTCTTCTTTTATTTCTCTATTTCTCTATTAGCGTAAGTATATATAGTATTAATATCGCTATTATCGCTATAATATATATAATAATATTATAATTATATATTTTATATATATATAATAATATCGCTATTATATATTATCTATATATATATTATATATAATAAATATTAATATCGCTATTATATAAAGTATTAATATTTAAAATATATAAGAATATTTACTAAGAATATTAAGAGTTTTAGCGTATATATAGAACTTTTAATATAGACCTCTATATAATAGATAAAATATACTTATTTTTTATTATCTAAAATAAGTAACTTCTATTAAGTATAAAAGAGAGATATTCGATAATCGTCTAGATCGAGGTAATAAATTAGCGTAGTTTTTCTCCGCGTCTCAACTACGCGACTTTTTTTATTCTTTATAATAACTCTATTATATTAAATTTAATATAGCTAAAATTACTACTCTATCTACTTCTAATAAAAAAGAATTAAATTAAATTATAAAATATTAGAAAAGAGATATCTAGATTAATATAAGAAAGAAGAAATTTAAATAGCGTAATATTCTTCTTTAGAGTATATCTTTACTATTAGAATATTAGTTAATAAAAATTAAATATTATATAACTATTAATTATCTTTTAAGTAATATAGAAATTACTCTATATATAATATTTAGTTTTATATAAACTATTATTATCTAGAATATACTTTATAGAAATATTAATTTATATATTTCTCTATAGAGTACTTTAGATTTTATTTAAAAGTCTATTAATATTTTAAAATTAAAAATCTTCGTCGTTATTATAATCTATATAAAAATCTTTTATTTTTCTACTATTTATAATTATTAGAGAACTAATAAAATTACTTTAATAACTTTATTAATTATTAGAAATATAACTCGAAATCGCTATATTCTTCTTCGAAAATTTATTTATTACTTAGATCTTTATTAAAGAGAACTTTAGAATTATTAGAATAAATAGATATAAATAATTTATATAGTATAAAAAGCTTTAGCTATTTATAAGTAAGATATAAAGTAATTAAAAGAAGCTTTATATCTTAAGTTCTTATATTATAATTAATAAATATATAATTAAAAAGATAAGATATATATATTATTTTATAATAATTTTAGATAAACTAATTAAGAAGAGATATAAGCTTTTCGTAATTAGCGATAAAAATTATATTTATAATTATATCTAATATTCTTCTATATAAAGTCTTAAGAGTAAATTAAAAGTTAAGAATCTTAAAGATATATTAGCTATAATATTTAAATTAACTATTAATATACTATCTTATAACTTTATTCTCTTTATAAATAACTATTTTATCGAATTAAGCTAACTATAGCTCTAAAAGATAGAGAAATTATAATATATAAAATTATAAAGCTAAATTAATTAGATCTTTTAAAATTACTTATAAAGATAAAATAAGTTTTTATAAAAGATATTTTATACGAAGTTCTCGCTATAATAATTTAGAATAATATATTAATAATAATTTAATAAGATAATAATCTTATTTTAGCTCTAATTACTATATATAATATAAGAGAGATTAATAACTTTATTTTTAAAAAGAGAAAATGTCTTAATAAGACTAGTATAAATAATTATATAATTTTATCTACTTTTAAAGAGAATAATTAGAATATATAAAAAAAGAAGTTTTAAGTTCTTAAGCTTTTCTACTACTATAATAAGTATATAAAGAAAATTAATTAATTTAATACTCTAGTAATTATATATTCTTCTTAGCGAGCTTATAATTAAAAATAAATATCTCTACTTTATTAGCATTTAAATAAAAGTTTTTTAAATATCTTTAAGCTCTATAAATTAATAGAAATATTTTATTAGAAGTATTAGAAGTTTCTTAAGCTAATAGTAATAGAATTAATTAAAAAAGATAGAGAAGATATTTAATCTCGACCGCCTCTTATCTCGATTATTACTCTATTAAAATTATTATAAAATTATTATAATTAATAAAATTTAAATACTATTCGATAGTATCTTATATATTATTTTAATATTTAGAAGAAGCGTTTTAATAGAGAAATTAGTAATAATAGTAAGAAAGTATTAAAGACTAGAGGGGAATACGCTATATATAAAGTCTCTTTATATTATAAAGAAAATTATATAAAACGATTTTATAATAAAAAGAATTAAATAGAGTCTATAGAATAAATCTAGATTATTAAGTATAGATTATATAGTAGTTATAAAGTAATAGTATTAATAATAGTAATAGAAATCGCATTTGTTATCTTCGGGCCGGTTATCGGATACTAGCTAATATATCCTAGCTTATATCAAAATTTAGCCCTTAACCAAGTTATTACCCTTAGCGTGCCGAGGTCCGCACAGCAACCGGGTAATCGGGTAATCCTCGGTATCCACACTTCTATCACTTTCTCCATTTTCGCAAGGCTGAGTATTTGGTCGGGCGTGAAGGTGAAGGTGAAGGTGAAGGGTGAAGCAGAGGCAAAATGAAATCACATCATGCATGCATTGACAGAAGGCTTTGCCAATACCCAGACCGGCTGTGCTATGGATACAATCTCGCCGACTACACTACAACTACAATGTCAAGGTTTATCTTCCTCCGAGATCATCAGCTGTTGTGAAGACTACCTCCAAACCGCGACTCGACGGAAAGAGGAGGAGGAGGACAAATGGACCTGCACGGCCAGTGCCATTGCTGAATACGTTGAGGGGCTCATCCGGCAGGATCAGCTGGATGAAACGTCGCTCCACGGCTGGAACCAGCTCGTACAAGAACATTATGGAGGGGAAATCGGGCTCAAAGGGGTACGAAATGCGGCCTACAGTTTACAAGAACGCTGTGAAGCTTCAAGCAAGGAGATCCTGGAAAATTGGGGAGTGTGGTACGACCGCGTCTTGGAACCTGAATGGATCGCCCAGAAACGTCCGTCGAAACATCTCCTCGCCGCTCTTGCGCGATTTTCGGCCTGTTGCCCCTACAAGGAAGCACAGATGGCGCTCAAGAAGGAAATCGAAGCGCGGGCTGCTCTACCCGCTCATCTGTCCCGCGGTAGGAGTAGGAAGAAGGTCCTGACTGTTGCTGACGTTCTGGCTGCCTCTCGAGTACACACCGAAATCTCTCTACAGGGGAGTCACAGCTCTTCTCTTCGAGCAGAAGATGAGGACCCCAGGAGCGATAGATCCAATTCAGAATCTATGAAGACAGACGCTAATGCTTCATCTTTGGTTCGTAATGACACCGTTCGCTATGCAAACATCGCCAGCCGAAAACGGAGGAGGAAGGGTCCAAGAGATGGAACATATGTTGATCCCACAGGAAACAAGAGACTCTGTCGGATTGTACGCGACGATGAGATTGACCAAGGCGCTATGGAGAATCAGCAATATCATCTTCGAGGAGACGATGCAGATGATGTAGATGACGAGCGTGTAAGTGAGTCTATGCTTGTGTCACTCTGGTACTAACAAGTGTTAGTCGATCGAGCTGCCTCGAGAACGCTTCCCAGATCTGCCGGATATGGACCTTGACTCCCATCCATTCTCTCCACACAGGGATATTGAAGAGGGGTTCGAGAACCCGAGTGTTCTGGGGGACGATCTCAACGATTGCTTGACCAAGAGCAACATGACCGCTGGTATCAAATGGCCTTCTTCACCCGCAACGGAGACCCTCGATAGTTCCATTGCGCGCCGCTTTGATCTGAACGGGATTCTGACGGAGAACGTTGAGGTACCATCACTGAACAACATACCAAGTCTTGATTCTTCCAGCTCAACGGAAAGCCCTCGGCAAGGTCAACCAGTACCTCCTACAATCATACAAAGATCTCAAATCCGCAGTCCAGACCACACTAGCTCCTTAGAGTCTGTTCGAGAAAATTCGGTAATGGACGAGCTCTTGCCTAGTACGGATCGACTGGGCGCTTCAGACACGTTACAACCGGGGCAATGGCTCTCGGCGACCGCAATCGAGCTTGTACTCAGTCATTGGCACCACCAAGAGGACTTTCGCTTGGTGGACAGCTCCTATCTAGACGTCAACCATCCGGAGGAGATTTTCAAAAAACCGCCCTTACGGCTGATGGGAGCATTACGGTTACTCTTAACTCTACACCATGGCAATCACTGGACATTATTACTCTTCGATTTCGACCAGCGCACGGTCCATCACTATGATTCCCTCGCGGCCGCGTCGTCTTGCGCGGATGCACGCCGGGCAGCTTTTTGCGTCGTCGAGCATCTTGGAGAGGACAAAGAATCATTTGCCTTCACTTCCGACAGTGTGTATAGGCAAGAAAACGGGTATGACTGCGGAGTTTGCGTACTGGTCATGGCGCTACACTTGCTGGTGAATATGCGAATACCTACGACGTACGACTGCAGTCTCTGGAGGGTCATATTCATAGCCTTGCTGAGAGGTGAGGAGCCAGTGGAGCCTTTGAAGGCATACACCACAGCGCCAGCACCCTTGATGATAGATGATCGTAAGTTTAGTGGTTCTAATATATATCATTCGAGCTGAGCTGAATTTGGGGACCTCTAGTGCAAGCAAGCGTCAAGGATAAGAGCCAATTCCAAAACATGGACGTTGAGAATCTTCGGAACCAATGCAACACACATCAAGCTCGCTGCATGGATGCAAAACACGCCAGAGATGATGCCGAAGCTACGGTGACACTGTTGGACGCCTTCATGAAGGGTTGCTATGAACACGATGCAATCCTACGGACGCGGCGAACGGAGATGCAGACGGAGCTCAGCGCTATCAATGGATTTGTAGATCGGTACGCTACATTTAAATACGGTCAAACAGCGTCTACCATGCGAGCGCTGGAATCGAATCAAATTACAGCGCAAAGTGCCGTCGACAGGGTCGACCGTCGTATTCACATGCTTGAGGAAGGGAACAACGGGCGCGACTTGGCTTTGAGAACAGGGAAGGAAATCCATATGCATCATCGGAATTGCTACGAGAAGCTTAGAGTCGCAGGGCGAGACGCCTCTCGCGCCTTGCATGAGCTTGTTCAGAAGCAGAGAGCGATCATTGATGAAATGGAGGATATACAGCGAAGATGGACCGTCTCTCTGGAGGCATGATGACAAGCTCCTTATGAGTAGTTGTTTAGTTAGAAAAGGTGCGGGATCAATTGCACTTGGTGCAGATCTCGGTAACATCAAGATTCAAGGATCGAGGATCAACCCATTCATTGTTTCTCTGCATTTCTCTACAACATACCGTTTTGCTCTTGCTCTTGCTCTCATAGGCCAAGACATGACCAAATCATAGCGAGAAAGATGCCTTTGAAATCTCTGCCGCCTGGAACAAGATGGTTTTGAAGACGATGCTCGTAGACGGCCGGCGGCTGTTACAGACGTGGAAGGGTTATTGGAAGTAGTACCGGACAGAGCTCTTGAGTGTTGACTGACTGGCTGGTATTGGCATCGGCATGAACATTGACAGACATCAAAAAGCGCACATCACAACACGCTGGAGAAGAATCGAGAAGGATGGAAATGAGCTTAGCGTACGTAAGTACTGCCCACGCAGCTCTTGTCAGCGAATCCTTCAAGTATGCTACCGTGGTTATCTTGCAGTGTCGGATCCATACTATACATGATACGACGGAGCCGGTGATTCCAAACGGGGATCCGTGAATGCGAATGCGGGAAACAAAGCCGAATGCCGTCTTGATTCCGCGAGGAATTCCGGGTGTATCGCGCGCGTTCTACAAGCTTGAACACAACGGAGAAGACGATATATAAAAGCGAAATCCTTCTGTTTGTCAGTCGGATTTCCGTAGATATAAAAAGATCCATGTTAAGATCAGACGACTCCTCTTGCTCTATCATCACTGATTCCATCCCATTGTGTATTCAACATGGCGAAAGCGGTATACGTTAGCTATATTGCGGTCGTTGTCCACCTTCTTTTACTTTTGCGCATTGTGACGGCCAATCAACCAGGTGAATATCCCTCCTTCCTTCATGCTCGAGCTTCGTGTCTAACATTCCGTACCTTGTAGTTCCCTTTCCCCGTGGCGCTTCTGGCCCGAATCCACGAATTCCAGCAAGTTCAGATACCGGAGAAACATCTGTCAAACTCAGCACAACTTATGTTGAGGCGGTAGTGAAGACAGCGACACCACCAGAAGGCCCTTCCGACGCCTCGACCGACATCACCCCCCCGTCCCAGCCATGACAACCTTCCAGGCTTCTTCTCTGCTCTGCCCAGAAACCTGGTCTCCAACTTCCACTCCCACCTCATCGCGTTGCCTTCATTCAGCCATCTCCGCCTCCACCCGCGGGAATGGCGGCCGTTGATCCCTTCGATCAGCCGCCTCGCGCAAATCCCAAAGAGCCTTACCCATCACGCCATGAAAACCCCCTCGGATATCAAACGCTACTGCGTCTCCGGATACGCCTTCCTCACGGATTCCGTGAAATCAGCCATGGCGCGGGCGCTCGGCGAGTGGAATATGCGCATGGATCGAAGCGCCGCGGCCAACGGCTGGGCCGATTCACTGCCCTCGCCTTATCCACTGACCCCGCCTCCACATATGCCATCGAGTGTCCCATCCAGTCCGGAGACGGGCCTGCTGTCGATCAGGCAGACGGACTTGGCCTTGCGCGAGGAGTATAGCTTATGTGCACATGTCGGAAGGACGGTGCAAAGAACGACGGTGTTGGCTAGCTGGATTGTGCTTCGGGATGTCAGGAAGTGGGAGGGGGCGGTGAAGGCGGTGGGGAACGCGGTGATGTGGGATGTTGCTCAGCTCGGTCGTCGGGTTTGGGGATGGTTGGTTATCGTGTCGGTCGTCTGGATGGCTTTTCCGTCGGTGTTGGTGCTTTTGGGACTGGTGTGGGGATTGAAGCTGTGGTTCCAGGCTGCTGCGTGGCTCTTGAGGCGGATTCGGGGATGATGGTAAAGCGGGTGGAGTGAAGGGTTTTAGGAGCCGTAGGATAGAGGGACATCATAGGGTTTCTGCTAAACTTTCGCTGAACAGCCAATCGAGTGAGTCCCTGCCTCTTTCCAAGAACATTCCCCTCCATAGAGTTTGGTCTCGGAAGACCCAGTCAAGGCCGGAGACCCGGAAGTATGCAGATGTAGTTGCGACGCTCGCTCACGTCCAGATCGTCTAGCTTCGAAGGGGTGGAAGTAGCAATCTGTTCTTTGTTATTTAGGGAAGACCTTCGTACCTAGGGCAATTGCAACATACTAGCTTGGGATGAGAGCGCGTAGAAAGACACCGAATGAGCCAAGAAAGCAGCTGGCGGTGAAGAAGGATAAGGGCGATCGTCGCGAGTATAACGTGAAACAGCAGCTCTGACCGCGTCTCAAGATATATCAGCTGGTGGAGGTGCAGCGTAGTCGTTCTCTGTCTAGACTTCTATCTATCGAGGAGGATCTTGAGTAGGCGGGAAGCGTGGAGTCTCGATCACATTCACCGCGAATAAAGCCGTTCTTAGATATTATCCCGGAACCGTGTGCCGCACCTATCCGATAAGGGCAATAATTTAATTAAGGACTGAATTTTAATACATTAACTAGTATATTCCTCTTTTATTTTTAATAAAAATTATTTATTTTAGATAATAGAAATAGAAATATATATTATATTATTATTATAACGAGTAAAGATCTATAAATTAAATTTATAACTATTTTTTTTAATTAGAGCTATCGAGTAAGTAGATAAGCGATCTTTAATAAGCGAACTTTAATAAGCGATATTTGAATTCCTTACGATTTAATAATTATAAGACTAAGTTTTAATATTCTTAAAAATTCGAAAAGCATAAATAGCGCTTTAAGATTTAAAAAAAAAACTTAAAATTTTAATAGAAAATAAAAAAGTAATTCTATATATTAATAATATATATCTATTTTTTTAATAAGAAAGATATAAGAGAGCGAGATTTTAATAGTTACGAATGCTAATTTATTTATTTATAATAAGTTAATCGATCTAGTTAAAAAGCGTAGAGAACTTAAATTAATAATTAGTTATATATATAAATTTAAAATTTTTTAAGCTTAACTCTATCTTATTCTTTTATATAAGTAAAGATCTATAAATTAAATTTATAAAGTTAGATTTTATTTTTCTAAGTCAAATCGAACTCTAATCGCTTGCTGTGCGTTTTTTAACCTACTTTACTACTATAAAATTAATTTAATCTATATAATATATAGATATATATATATAGAGAGGGGCGCGCAAAAAATTATAAAAAAAAAAATATAATAAAAAAAAAAAAAAAAAAAAAAAAAAAAAAAAAAAAAAAAAAAAAAAAAAACATTTTTAAAAAAAAAAAAAAAAAAAAAAAAAAAAAAAAAAAAAAAAAAAAAAAAATAATTAAAAAAAAAAAAAAAAAAAAAAAAAAAAAAAAAAAAAAAAAAAAAAAAAAAAAAAAAAAAAAAAAAAAAAAAAAAATAAAAAAAAAAAAAAAAAAAAAAAAAATTTAAAAAAAAAAAAAAAAAAAAAAAAAAAAAAAAAAAAAAAATTATAAATAAAAAAAAAAAAAAAAAAAAAAAAAAAAAAAAAAAAAATAATAGATCAAGTTGCAGTAGGGATAATAGGCTAAGTTATAGTAATATTCTCCGCTTACTAAGTAATAATTTGATATGGAATCGTGAAGAGTATATAATGTGAAATCTTGAAGAGCTAAGCCGTATTCTTAATGCTAAGAACCTTATTGCCGCTTAATTTCTTCGTAATATTCTCTATATTCGCCTACTATTGTAACTTCTCTTACTCTAGCTAAGTAGATTAATATGAGATCGTAGAGAGTAGGCTTATTATATTATTGCTGCTGATAACTATCTCCGTAGTATTCTCCGTAGTATTCTTTATATTCGCCTACTATTATAATTTCTCTTATTCTAACTAAGTAGATTAATATAGAATCTTAAAGAGCTAAGCCGTATTTTTAACGATAGTAGTCTTATTACCGCTTAGTTTCTCCGTAATATTCTTTATATTTATCTATTATAGTTTCTTCTCTTACTTCTTCTCTTATAGAGTATTAGACTAAGTAGCTAGCTAAGTAACTAACTGAGTAGATAACTGATATAATATAGGATCTTGAAGAGCTAAGCCGTGTTCTTGACGATAATAGCCTTATTGCCGCTTAGTTTCCCGTAGTATTCTCCGCATTTACCTGTTATAGTTTCTTCTCTTACTTCTTTCTTATAGAGTATTAAACTAAGTAGCTAGCTAAGTGACTAACTGAGTGGATAACTGATATAACGTGGGATCTTGGAGAGCTGAGCCGTATTCTTGATGCTAGAGACCTTATTGCCGCTTGATTTCTCCGTAGTATTCTCTATAGTATTCTCCGTAGTGTTCTCCGCATTTATCTATTATAGTTTCTTCTCTTACTTCTTAATATAGTGGGGATAATAGGCTAAGTTATAGTGGTATTCTTCGCTTACTAAGTAATAATTTGATATAGAATCGTGGAGAGTATATAATGTAGAATCTTAGAGAGCTGAGTCGTATTCTTAATACTAAAGGCCTTATTACCGCTTAATTTCTCTATAGTATTCTCCGTATTTATCTATTATAATTCCTTCTCTTACTTTTTAATATAGTAAGAATAATAGACTAAGTTATAGTAATATTCTCCGCTTATTAAATAATAATTTAATATAAAATCGTAGAGAGTATATAATATGGGATTTTGAAGAGCTAAGCCGTATTCTTAATGCTAGAAATCTTATTATCGCTTAATTTCTTCATAGTATTCTTCATATTCGCCTATTATAGATTCTTCTCTTATTTAATTAAGTATAAGAATATCGAGAGTAAATATATTTATAGAATAATAAAGAATAGATAAAGAAGAAAGACGCGTCTTAGAAGATAATATCGCTAGTTAAAAGGTACTATCGCTAGCTTAGAAGGAGTATATAGAGGAAAATAATAACTATAAATTCATTTAGACTTTTTTAAAAGCTTTTTAACGCGTTTATAAGTAGTAGTAGATAGCTATTAAACTACGGCCTCGATTACTAGTAATAGCGAATTTATAAAGAAATAATCTAGGGGCGTTAGTAGAGACTCTAAGAGGCGAGTAAAAGGGGTATATATATCTAAAATATTAAGTAACCTTTAGGCGAGAGGTATCGAAGACGATTATATTTATATTAATGAAATTAATAGAATTAATAGAATTAATAGAATAGTAAAAGAATAATAAATATACTAATAGATGAAAGAATTATTATTATTTAATCTCGAACGCGTCTAGTATAACTACTATAACTATTATATTTAAATATTTATTTAATCTATTAATAGTAGACTAAACTTTATTATTTTTATAGCGTTAGAAAGCGTATACTAAGCTCTATAATTTACGAAATTATAAAGTAATAGTATTCGTAGAAAGCTGAATATTTTAGAGTATAAAACTTCTATATATAAATTTTTAATAAGAGAGTTTAGAAAGGCTAGCGAGCTAATTTAGTCGATCTAACTAAAGAGCGTAGATAACTCTAAATTTATAATTAGCTATATATATAAATTTAAGATTTTCTAACTTAGCTCTATCTTATTCTTTTATATATATAATAAGTAAAGATCTATAAATTAAATTTATAAAGTTAGATTTTTTATTTTTCTAAGTTAAATAAAGTTAGATTTTTTTAAGTTAAATAAAATTTTAGCTTTAGTTCTAAGTTAAATCGAACTCTAATCGCTTACTATATATTTTTAATCTACTTCTACTATTATAAAATTAATAAAGAAAATAAAAGTCTTAACTCTAAATTAAATTAAACTTTACTTACTTTCTATATAGTAAATAATTTATTTCTATTACTATAAATCGCTAATTAATTATATTCTTATTTAAGAAAGTAATATCTATTTAATAATCTTATTTTTAATATACCTCGTTAATTAAGTAAATTATCTTTTTAATAGATTATTTAAAACTATAATTAATAGATCGATTTTATTAATAACTCGACTTAAGACTATATATAATTAATTATAAATAAAAATCTTAGAATATAATAGATATAAGTCGACTTACTATAATAACTAGTCTTAAAATTTATTAATTATTATATTAAAGATTAATCGAATTAGAAATTAAATATATTAAAAGAGAGTATATAAATCGTTTAAATTAGGCGAAGCTAGAGGAATACGTAATATATAATATTATTTATTATTATATTCGCTTTTAAAAGTATAATAATTAAGTATTTTAAACTTAATATACTTAGTTTATAAACGTATTCTATTATATATATCTATACGCTACTTTAAATTTCTTAATAATATTATTATATAATCTTATTTTAACTTTATATAATAGAGTAAAAGTAAGATTAATTTAAAGATATTTATTATTTTAGTAAATAAAAGAAAGCTATCTTCTTTATTAACGACTTAATTTCTACTATTATAAATAATCTTAGCTCTAAAGAACTTATTAAGAATTTAACTATTAAATTAAATAATATTCTTATTAAGAATATAAAGAATCGCTTTAAATATATAGAAATTAGCTATTCGATATAGATTAAGATTATTATAAATAGTATTAATTAGCTAAGTAATAAAGTCGTCTAATAATTACTTAATAGATTAATCGATAACTTTTTATTCTCTAAAGCTTATTAAGATATTATTATCTATATCTAATAGTCTTTAAACGAATTTCTCTATATTAGTTCGATCTTAATAAATTAAATTAAAGTTTTAAAATCTTATATTTTCTATTAGTCTAAAAATTTAAATATAATTTTAAAAATAAAATACTCTTAATATAATTCGAGCGATATAACTTAACTTAGTACTCTTAATAATTAAAAGAATTTAATAAAAATTATTATAGAAGTATATAACTATACTATTAAAAGAAGTAAAGTTCTTTTAAATATTTTAGAGTATATAATCGACGA